CAGCCCTGTTTAAGGAAGTTTTTAATATTTAATGCTGTACTGTTTTTAACACTTGATTGGGAGCCGCCCAGAGTGGCTGGGGAAACTCAGCCAGATGGGCGGGGGTATAAATAAATTATTATTATTATTATTATTATTATTATTATTATTATTATTATTATCATCATCATTATTAGGTGAGTCTGCCTTTAAATGTGAACAGAATCAAATTTCCTCTCCCCCATCCCTATTCAAGTGTTAGTTACACCTCCACAATGCCATTTAAGTAATAAAAATCACTAGTTAGAATACATACGCAGAAGAGACCAGATGATATTCATTTTGATAATTATTCTTTTATTTACAAAGCATTATTTAAAAAAGAGAATAACAAAGGGAGCTAAGGCTATGACAAGGGGTGCAGCATGAATGACAGGAACTGGAGGGGGGAATGTTTAAAATAAAATAACATTTTCTTTTTTAAAAAAAACAACAACCCAAAGCTTTTTTCACTTAGGAATTCTAGGTGTTGAAATTCCAACAGATCAGAAAAGACTATGTATGTGACTGCTGCCGCTCGGATGTTATTAGCCCAGAAACGGAAAGAAGTCCCCAGAGAAGAATGGCAGATTAAGTTGATGGACCTATGCCAAATCAGCAAAAATGACTGGAAGAATCAGAAACCAGGAAGACCAAAATTCGATAAGGAATGTGGAAAATATATAATTTACCTTAAAAAACCATTGTAAAATATTTAGTAGGATTGGCATAACACTTGTAGTTTAATGCTGAATTTTGGCGTATAATGGAGATTTAAAAGATTTGGATTAATAGACAAGTTGCAGGAGGAAAAGGTTAATATAAGGTCCCACAAAGGGGAGGAGAGAAATCCAGGAGATTTCTTCAGAATTCTCTTGTTATGTTGATTGTTTGATAATTGTTTGTAAATTGTTAAAATTTAGAAAACTAAATATTTTTTTTTAAAAAAGAATAAAAAAAGACTGGAGTGGTTGGTAGATACTTGGTTGGAAGGAGACAATGAGATTGTTGGTGAGCAGAATGAAATTGAGAGGTTCTTTGGCGATATGAAATAAAAGATACAGTGGTACCTTGGTTCTCAAACGCCTTGGTTCTAACACAGCTTGGAACCCAAACACTGCAAACCCGGAAGTAAGTGTTCCGGTTTGCGAACCTTTTTCAGAAGCTGAACGTGCTCCGATTTGAGTGCCACACTTCCATTTTGAGTGTTACGCTGAGGTCTGTCTGTTTTTGCTATTTATTTGCCATTTTTGTAATCTGCGGCTCTCTTTTTTGTGACTGTGTGGAACCCTGTTCAGCTACTGATTGATTGATTGTGTGACTGCACTAACATTGTTTATTGCTTCATTTATGGATCAATGGTCTCGTTAGAGAGTAAAATTCATGTTAAATTGCTGTTTTAGGGGGTTGTTGTTTAACAGTCTGGAACAGATTAATCCGTTTTGCATTACTTTCTTATGGGAAAGCATGCCTTGGTTTTGGAACGCTTTGGTTTTGGAACGGACTTCCGGAATGGATTAAGTTTGAGAACCAAGGTACCACTGTATATACTTCCTGACTCCAGTACTGGAGTGCGGAACTAGGTTTGACATAAAAGCAAGTAATTAAATCACTTGCTTCTCCTAAACGCCCTCCCATTTGGGGGAAGACTCTATAGCGAAGCAGAAGACTTGCCAGTTTTGGAGCAAGGAGGATGGGTGCATTGCCTTTCCTCCCAACGTGGATTCATGATGTCCTCCCATGGCTCACATCTGATAGGCTACATGGTATAAACAGGAAGCCTCTTTGGCGTATGGGCACTTTTTCCCTGTACTTATTCTGATGTGACTTTCGGACATCATTGTATAGCTATATATAATTGGCTGGGTGAAGATAGGCATTGTCTCTCTGCCTCATTGGCCAGGATTGCTTCTAGAAGGAATCAGGGTTTGGTTTTGTTAAACAGTGCAAGTTAGAGAAAGTAAAAACGAAACAACAACAACAAACAAAAACACAGCCACAACCGGGTAGCACATGAAAAAGGTAAGCAAGGCTACATGCTTTTGTTTGAGGGGATCCGTAAACAAACCCCCTGTGTTGCAATATAGACAAGCTGAACAATATAACACAACTTCTCGTATTAATTTTTACAAGTCTGGCTGATGATGAATTGATCAAGATTGGCTGATGAAGCATTTGAACAAAACAGATTGGATATCCGGAAACTCTGTTCCGGCGATGTTGGTGACTATATATCGAACTTTCGAATTATTCTACCGCGACTGGGTGGAGAAGATTTATAGACTTTGTTGTAATTTCTGATCATTTGTATTAGTCTATAAATAGTGTTTAGTGCCATTGTTATTGGCCATTGTGTTGTGTTATATTGTTCAGTTTGTCTGAGGGGAAGCATTCAAACATGTAAACAACACCCCTACTTTCAGCCTGAAGTGGTACAGTCTAGGAAAAGCTGTAGCAGCTGATTCTGCGGACTGTATATAACCCGACCCTAAGCATAATGCTATTTTTGTTATTGAAGAATTTGTAGGGAGATTTTGCAAAGAAGATGGGTACTTGGGAGTTCATGCTGTGGAGTGATGTGGCTACATCCTAAGGAACTCAAGGACCAAACAGGCCTTTGCAGTGTCAATTTAGTATTCTTTTGTTGATGTGTCGCATCTCTCTTTGTTGTGATCCAATCTGGAAGTAACAAATTGCATTCCTGTTTATTAGACATTTATTTTTCACTGTCATTACTTGGAAGAAATCAACACCGTTTCGTCCTTTTCCGTGGCAGTTTTCCTTTCTTTTCCCCGGTTACATTGGTACAATTTTCTCGTAGACTCCAGGAGTAAAATAGCTGCTTTTCCGTATCTGTAAAATAAGAAAAAATAATCTGGCACTGCAAGAAAACTTGTGTTCCATCCTACCATATATGCTCCCACCATCTTGAGATTGATATAACCTACCTCCAGGTGTATATTCTCGACCTCTCTAATTTCTGTTGATCTTAACAAATGAGGTCCTTGATAATTGCTTTTTGACAGAATATTTCACAGTCTGTAAGCTTTTTCATTCTTCCATAATCTCGAATCCAGGAAGACAACAAAGATCAAGTCTGAAGGTATCTGAAACTGATGGCCTGTTTGCTGTTTTTGTAACCTCTGCCTGAGAAATTTAGAAAAAGGTGTTCCCAGTCTACTATACACAATGCTGATGCCTGGACCCAACATATTCCTTTATGCGTTTCACAATTTTACACTACCAACAACATTCTTCTCTGTATTTCTGCACTACGGCTGAGGGGAAATGGCCTCTCCACATTCTCTGAACGCTTTTCCAGGGGTGAAATTCGGGCCAGAGTGGGGGTTGCAGAATATTCTCCAAAGGGATAGGTGGGCTTTCAAATAGGCTGGAGCTGGAGAAGGATTGAAAGTGGCTAAGAACTCTATAATTAAAAAAATAATTCCAGACAAACATAATCTCCAGATTAAAGTCCAATAAAAAAACAACATCCACAATATCCAGCAAAGAATGTGCCAGGCAGATTCGACTCAGGTTAGGACACAAGATGGGGAGTGCTTGGAAGACCCTAGGGAACATGAATATACTCTAATTCCGATAGGCAACACACCTCCGTGAAGAGTTAAACCACCCTGTTCAGCGCATGCTGACTCTATTCATCGTATTGAGATTATTACAGTGTTCTGGTATTGTGGGTGAGGAAGGCAAGGGCAGTGGTTGCTAGTTCTGAAATCAGAAAGAAACTGCTGCCGTTCATTTCACATTGATGAACATCATTTTTGGACCTCAAGCCCAGAACAGCAGTTGATCTTGAAGAACTAAATAACCCTGCAAGGAATTTCGTTTCATCTTCTACAGAAGTACTACAGACTTTTCAGTCTCTTGGTGTTCCTTCACCTTTCACGGCAAGAGTAATAATTTAACAAAGCTGAGTAGGACACAGTTTCTGGTCCACACATAAGACCCCTGCCCTGTTTCTGGTGGATTGCATGCTGGGTGCTGTAATTCTTGCAAAAAAATAATAATTCTGGGCTTGGATGACTTAATATGGATCTGTTATGCCTCTTGTGTCAAGAGTTCTTGCACATGTAAAAGTAAAGGTAAAGGGACCCCTGACCATTAGGTCCAGTCGTGACCGACTCTGGGGTTGCGGTGCTCATCTCGCTTTATTGGCCGAGGGAGCCGGCATACAGCTTCCGGGTCATGTGGCCAGCATGACTAAAGCCGTTTCTGGCGAACCAGAGCAGCACACGGAAAACGCTGTTTACCTTCCCGCCGGAGCGGTACCTATTTATCTACTTGCACTTTGACATGCTTTTGAACTGCTAGGTTGGCAGGAGCAGGGACTGAGCAACGGGAGCTCACCCCATCGCTTGGATTCGAACCGCTGACCTTTCTGACTAGGCAAGTCCTAGGCTCTGTGGTTTAACCCACAGCGCCACCCGCATCCTCTTGCACATGTATTCTTGCTTAAAACAAAAAACAAAGCATGTTGGTGGACCAAATTAAAACATGTTGGTGAGGACACCCCATCTTTGGTCTAATATATTCTAGATCAGGCATGGCCAAACTTGCCCCTCCAGCTGTTTTGGGACTACAATTCTCATCATCCCTGACCACTGGTCCTGTTAGCTAGGGATGATAGGAGTTGTGGTCCCAAAACATCTGGAGGGCCAAGTTGGCCCGCCTGTTCTAGATTCTGCTCAGCTACATAGCAATACAGACCAGACATTGCATTCAAGTCCTTCTTGGGATAGCAACTCAAGACTCTGGATGCAATTTCTAGCACATGCACACACCAATGGATGTGAATGCATGGCTACATTCTCCAGGTTGACTTTTCAGGCCTGTCGTTGACCAGAATGTAAGGGAACCAAACTGCCAAAAATATGATGGTCATGATATTACCAAATCCCCTTGGATTTATTCCTAAAAAGCCCATGTACTGTGTTTATAGCTCATGTACTTACAGCCTTTCCTCAATAACACAGGTTTGTGATTAAAATGCTGTATACAAACAATCCAGAAGCTACTGCTGTTGCGATCCAAAGATAGAGATGCGAGTCTGGGCATGGATCTGTGTCTGAAATACATTTAATTTTTCAAATTATCATCTTCAGGAAGATAGAGCAAATGTTAACACACACACACACACACAGAGAGAGAGAGAGAGAGAGAGAGAGAGAGAGAGAGAGAGAGACCTGCAATAAACCCAGATGCCACTTTGCTGCCACATACACCCGGACAACACCATTACTGACCCCAACCAACATCACACATACCATCTCGGGACTATTTAATTGCTCATCGTCTAACATTGTGTATTGCCATCAAATGCCAACAGTGTCCTTCAGCTCTCTATATTGGACAAACAGGCCAAACCTTACGCCAAAGAATAAACGGACATAAATCTGACATCAAGAATCACAAGACAGAGAAACCAGTAGGAGAACACTTCAATCTCCCAGGACATTCTATACAAGATCTCAAAGTAGCTGTTTTACTACAAAGGAATTTCAGAAATAGACTGGAAGAGAAGCTGCTGAATTGCAACTCATTACCAAACTTAAAACCATTGGAGAGACCTTGGTCTGAACAAAGACATTGGATTCTTATCTCATTATACATGACAAAGCCATTTTTCACCTTCTCACCCCTTGCTTTTTCCTGTAAAGTTACCTATTGCAGTCGTTAAGAGTCGTCAACAGGCTCATCACAGCTATCTGCCAATCACCCATTGCCCACCACACCTTCTGACTAATACCCCTCCCCACCTTCTCACTATATAGAAGGATCTGGCAACTTCTGTTTCAGTGTATCTGAAGAAGTGTGCATGCACATGAAAGCTCATACCAAGAACTAACTTAGTTGGTCTTTAAGGTGCTACTGGAAGGAATTTTCTTTGTTTTGACTGTTTTCCAAGTACAGTTGTACCTTGGAAGTCGAACGGAATCCCTTCCAGAAGTCCGTTCGACTTCCAAAACATTCGGAAACCAAGGCACAGGCCAGAAAGCTCACTGCAAAATTCAGAGAAGTTTGAGTTTCAAAGGATGGCTGTGCTTCAGTTCTCGTATTGTTTTGGAAAATATGGATTAGGTAGGTTACATGCAAACTGAATCTGATTTCTCCCCATCCCTCCTGACAACAGATATGGAGGACAATATGCTATGAAGAATTCATAACTCACTTAAGGTAAAGGGACCCCTGACCATTAGGTCCAGTCATGACCGACTCTGGGGTTGCGGCACTCATCTCGCTTTATTGGCCGAGGGAGCTGGCATACAGCTTCCGGGTCATGTGGCCAGCATGACTAAGCCGCTTCTGGCGAACCAGAGCAGCGCACGGAAACGCCGTTTACCTTCCTGCTGGAGCGGTACCTATTTATCTACTTGCACTTTGACGTGCTTTCGAACTGCTAGGTTGGCAGGAGCAGGGACCGAGCAACGGGAGCTCACCCCGTCGGGGATTCAAACCGCCGACCTTCTGATCAGCAAGTCCTAGGCTCTGTGGTTTAACCCACAGCGCCAACTCACTTACTAGGAAGCAAATCTCAGTGTGACAGACTTCTGCACAAAGATGTACATACTGTGAGAAGGCTGATATGAGAGTTACAGGATTGAACTGATAGACCTCAAGGACACAATTCATTCTGAAAAACACTCGAAGGCACCCTGACATCAGATCGTGAGCTTTCTGAACTCACCAACCACATAGAGCTGGGTTCCCCTTCCCATGACTTGGATGTAGGGTGGCGGGAAAATCCGTTCCATCTTGCAGATATACAGGCCAGCATCAGTCGGCTGCAGACCCCAAAGTGTAATGTTTACACCATTGTGACCAGGGTGGACTTGGCACTTGATGCCATCCTTCACGATGAACGGCTCATACCCAGCAGTAAGCCATGAAGCACACATCCTGAGAGACTCATTGCCAAGGTGTTTAAGTAAAGTTATCACAAGTCCCTCTGCATCTCCAGCATTCCTGTATTCACATGCAAAGTGGGCAGCCTCTGGCCTTTTGACCACCAGGAACGACGGTTGAGTTACTTCTATGACTGTAATGAAATATCAAACAGAGCGCTGTGATAAATAAACATGCTGAAGAGAAATATGCTGTATCCATAGAAAAGGGAGTGGCAGGTATCTCAGATACTTATTTAATATCAGATATTTAATTTACGGCTTTTGAATTATGGTGCTGGAGCAGACTCTTGAGAGTCCCATGGACTGCAAGAAGATCAAACCTATCCATTCTTAAGGAAATCAGCCCTGAGTGTTCACTGGAAGGACAGATCCTGAAGCTGAGGCTCCAATACTTTGGCCACCTCATGAGAAGAGAAGACTCCCTGGAAAAGACCCTGATGTTGGGAAAGATGGAGGGCACAAGGAGAAGAGGACGACAGAGGACGAGATGGTTGGATAGTGTTCTCGAAGCTACCAGCATGAGTTTGACCAAACTGTGAGAGGCAGTGGAAGACAGAAGTGCCTGGCGTGCTCTGGTCCATGGGGTCACGAAGAGTCGGACACGACTAAATGACTAAACAACAACAACAACAATTTAATTTATGACATTTATATCTTGAGGGAACTCAAGACAGCATACATGCCGTTCCCAGGCAGTCACAAATCCAGGCACTGACTAGGCCCAGATTTTCTTAGCATCCGTAGGGTTCCCTCAAGCCATATCAAATAAAACCAGGCATATATTCAACATGTGAGCAGAATTCAGCTGACACGTGCCTTAGGTTCTGCAGGAGAAGACCTAGTCATAGTTCCATCAATGACTATAGTTTGTAATGCAGCATCTGAGAGCATGGCCTTCTCTGTTTTGGCACCACATGTGTAGAATTTCCTCCCTTTGGAAATACAGTTCTCCTCCCTTGCTATTTAGCTTCATTATTAACTTAACTTGGGTAGGAGAGCTGGTCTCTTCTGCATATGGTTTGCTGTGTATTATACTTAGTAGTTTTTAATGGTATTAG